CTGTCCTTCTCCCGCACCTCCGATTAGCACGGCTGGCTACGTACGGTGCGAAATAAATTAAACATACGTACATGAGGTATCCTCTTTAATACAAGCGCCCACCATGCATTTCCATGGCGAGGATCGTCTTTTTACCGTTGACTTCCTGCAAAGCGACACTTATTTTAAAACCATTGGAGAGATGACAGCCTGGGGTTGACCACACCCAGAACTTGAACTCATAGGCTTCCAAGTGCAAGTGGAGCCTACCGCCCGAGTGCCTCCTGGCTGGAGAATGAATTAGCGTCATCATTCACGTGATATGACCTCGCTGTACTCGGTGGAAGAGCAGAAAGCAATTCTAACAATGCAACACGGGCCACTATTTCACTGCATGCTTACATTTTGTATCCAGTCACTGAAAAGGATCTGTGGTGGTTCATATCTGTGCATGCACACACTAAACACTCCCCAAGCAATCTCAAGATCAAGCCCCACCATGCGCGGGGACTCCACACCCCATGTTAAGAAAGTAATTTTTACGAGTCAATGTATTTAGAATTTTCCTACGAAAATGTCACTATCCAGCCCCTCACCTGCTCTACGGAGACACAGTCAACCATAAGTGGGGCGTTTTACTTCATATAAACTGATACTGGTGTAAATTGTTGACTTAAAGCTTTCGTGACAGCAGGAATTCATATTCTTTGGGTCTTTCGGTAAAGTCACGTAGATAGGTGCAAATCTCGTGCCAACGCGGCCACGTCTGGACGCCGACCTCTGCGATTTCCCATTTTCATGCTAATCTCTCACATTAACATGCTAATCTCTACATTATCATAGCCACCCGCGCACATTAACATCACTAGCCCCGCCCACTTCGTTCATGACCCTAGGACTACACCCCCTATAAAACAGTCGGCAATCAGCAGCTTTCCCCCTCTTTCCTCCTGATGACGATCGCTTGTGTTGTGACTTCCTAGATTTTCTTTAAGATGCTTGATGCAGCGTCAAGCAAAAAAGTCACGCATCTAAATGCAATATTTGTTTGTGAGAATTATTTTTCATCGCACCGGTGAGTGAGCTGGACACTCATGATTGGCGAGTTAAACACTTTTGCACTTGACAATTTAATTTGTTTGCTGCGTCACGTGGTAAAGGGTCTTCCGTCAAAAATTTGGTCAGATCATTACACTGACCAAATCTGAACATTAATAATGAAGCCCAATATTGGCTGAGAAAACTGACGTGTTGAGTCGATACATTTACATCACCTTGCTATTGCTACGTGAAACAGCATTCTCAAAATGCATTGCGCGTCTATCTGAGAAAGTAATGCCTGTACACTTTGTACAAACAAATGGGTCACTGAGCTTATGAGCATTTGCCAAAAATTAGAGCTTGACTTATACATGCGCAAAAATAAAAAAAAATGAATTTTTCGATTCCATTAAATCTGCTGAATAAGCAGATGCTATTTTTGCGAACATCCAATATGACCTTGCATTGATATTGCATGGGAAGCTGAGATAAAAACAAAGGATCTTCGTAGTGTTGACCGAGTCCATTTCTTTAGACCTCTTTGCCACTTCACTAGCTCTTGAAGGTTTTGGTATTGCTTACACACAGCCAGTCGTATCCTATCAGCTAGTGGAAAAGTGACCCGTACAAAGATCCTTGAAAAGGCATGTTTCTTTTTTTTATGGTCAAGGTGTCTCCGTGCGCAATGGAGTGGTGAGTAGTTAGAGGCTGCAAGCACGGCTTGAAATTCCATATTTACGTAATAAAGACCAGTCCTTCCGCAAGAACGCCACTGGTGACTCCACAAAATTAAACTTTTGTATCGGCTGTGAATGGATGGTGGAACCGAGTTGAACCACGACGAGGGTTCAACCAAAGCATTTCTCGCCCGCGATTCCAATATTCTAACCACATGGGCTTGCCCAGCCGGGCGCGCTTTAAAAAGACTTAAAATGAATTCGTCTGCTTATCACAAATGGACGTTGCAATATTATATCAGAGGAACCAAGACCGACGTACCTCGGCCCAAAAGGTAGCGGGCAAACACGATACCCCGCACCGCGCAGTAACCAATCGTCTCAGCGCACCACTGTAAATAAAGTGCATTCCTGCTGTGCATGCTGCCACTTTCATTAAACACTCCATTGCCGCCAAGAAAGAAAGGGCAATAACAACAACAACAAAGCCTCACTGAACCCCACTGAAAACGTTTCAAACGAAACTGGTGTTGCATCGGGTGATGGAGTAAACATCTAATTTCATGTCCCTTTTCTGGCCAAGTAAGAGGCTATTATGGATTTATTGGGGGGGAAGTGGGTGGTGGAATTAGTTGAGGTTAATTTATTTTAAATGTTGGACTTGGGAAGTGGCATCATCTCAAAGTCTCCTATTTGAGTCAAGTGTGTCACAAGGCAGGCAGCACAACGTCCTCACAACCCCCAGGAATTAATTTGTTAGCCAGAACTAAACCATCAAAGGTCGACTCACTGGTACGTACACCAACACACAAAGATCCCCCATATAGCCCTTTAGAGACTGTTGGGGCAAGTGCTGGGTGGCTAGCACCACGCTCGGCAGCTTTTGTCTCCCCAGTGCTGATTTTTACACCCCGCACCAGGTACTAATTTGATGCGGAGTCGACCTAGGGCAGGCCCAGGACCAGTTCAGATAATCGTCACTGGAGTTGGATGTAAGCAGGAATCTAACTAGGATAGCCGGGTTCGAAGCGCAGCACACTAATTACGACATCCATATATGAGTAGCGACATAAACTGTATCACTACAGTGTAGCGACAGTACCGAGGGAAGAGTGGTACTGTACGCGGGGTGCCGTTCTATGGCATCAGTGTGTGTACTGCATTAAGAGGCTCACTAGAGGGTAGGGTCCAGGTGTCACAGAGGTCGGGTCAGGACATGACTGCCTGCGTGAACCCGCGAGAGCACGTGACCAGACGAGGGGGCACGGGGACCCCAAGAAGGGGGTGAGAGGGGGCCAAGTGGTATGGACTGAGAGCCTCCACGAAGGATCTAGAAGGGGGCGTGGCCAGGGGCGGGGCCCGGCCACGCCGCAGCGGATAGAAGCCCAGTCCCGAGAGGGAGCTGGGATGTTCAGCCCGGGAATGAAGCCGCCTTCTTCGATCCTCGCTCTTCGCGCACGAGGGCCAGGCAGCGTGTTAGTTGTCCTGGTCCAACTATATCGTGATCCCGTTCAAGTGGTTAGGTGGTTAGGAGCGGTGGCCACCACCCTATGTAATTAACCCGTCATGTACATAGTTAACCTCGGAGCTTTGCGCAGTGATCTGTTATGTTAACCGGTTTGGGTTGTGTTAGTAAATAAACGTGTTGCCTCCAAGACTCGGTGTGCGCCTATTTAGAACCCACTAAATATGTAAACTACATACAGATTCAGAGCACCAAATACTTGGCGACATACGGTGTGATAGATGTTCAAGGTACATACAACAAATATGTTTTAAGCAGTGGTGTTACTATTGAGTCAAACCGGAGCATTCAAGAAGGAATTGCTATGATGATGTTGACAAGAGGTGTCGAGGTGCATGACGCTGGTGATTGAAGCAGTGACGTGGATTTCCCAGTGACTGGGGTCATATGATTCTCATGTTTGCAAACCACACTCCTGTTTCCCAATGGCAAACGTCCTCCGGTTCGGTGGTGGGAGGGAGGGTGAAAGAACCTGACACTCTGCTGAACTAAAAGTAAGACTCTGTTGGTAGTTGTAGTACAGGCAATCCTCGGTTTCCGTGCTTTTGTGGTACGCCATTTTGGAATAACGCGCGATTTGTATGTAGACCTTTTAGAACCTCATCCGCAACGCGACATTCGCCACATCTAGCCTGGCACCGCGAGCCAATGGCGTTGCCAGCAGCTAGTGCGGTACGATCACTAAGTGTGCTACACTGGGCAGCATCTCGCCACGTGTACACCGCTCTTCGCTTTGTCTCCACAATGCAACTCCGGCGTAATTACAAGTAAGTGATTCTGTATTTCTTCATTTTTATTTTATAAGAACTATATTAGATTTTACGTGATTTAAGTTTGTATTTAAAGTATTATATTGTGTGTACATGTATTGATATAGGCTCGGGTAATATAGGTGAGTATGTCTGCGAGTGTGAGTGAAATCCCCAAACCCCCTCCTTTACCATTATTTTTTATGGGAAAGTTGATTTTGACCTTCGCGATTTTGAGATACGCGCGCTTTTCCAGGAACGCATCTATCATCCCGTATGTCAAGGAGTGCCTGCATACTAGAACAAACCACAAAAAACTCAGCCAATTCTTCAGAAAAGAAAGAAATTCAGTGAGCCGATAGAGATATAGCTGGCTAACATATCGTAAAGCACTGGAGTCTGTGCTTATTCAATGGAGGAAGAGTAAATCTGCATTAACTCTCTCCTGAAGCCCGCTCGTGGCTGGCAGACCTCAACACTGGCACTTACCTAGGGAACATATTCTCATCGTGTGCAGGAATAGAATAGAACCGATTCGTGTACATTTTGAAGCTCCTAATATTGTACATGCACAGATTAGCTTGTGCAAGATAAGTTTTATTGCATGTAATGGGTTTAAATTATTCCTTCGGCCTCTAGATGCCGCTACGTTAACCGTATCGTTAAACCATTTGCTGTAGTCTTGAATCAAAGGTTGAACTTAAATCTCAATAAACCAGTGACTTGTGACAGGGTCAGCCGTTTTTATATATTTTTTTGTTGGGGGGGGGGGGGGAGCATCATCGTTTCGGAGTTTCCCCTCCGTTCCCTTACCAACCCCCCACCACCAGCGTCCTCGCGGATTCACTTGTTGCCAAATCGATTGATTGGCGCGGCACTCCTGGCGGATTCACTTGTTGCCAAATCGATTGATTGGCGCGGCACTCCTGGCCACGTCGCGTGAACGCCTCGTCTAGACGGTGCGGCAGCTCTGCTGGGCCGTGGTGGGTGACGTCCGCCTGCGTGTTTGCTGCACGTGGAGTGCCTCACCTGGCTCGGTGAGGCAGTACGCCGCCAGGCTGTGCATGCTGCACAGTCCCGGGCAGTACTTGTCTCTCTGCTCCACCGTGCCGAAGACATCAATCATCCAGTTGCACATGCTGTGAGCGGAAAAGACAGACGGACATGCCGCAATCATCTTTCAATCAAGGACAACGACGACGACAACAACAACAACAACAACCCTATCTGTGCGGACAAGTCGATACCAATTTGACGGCTTATTCTTTTGAGAGCCGGGAGCTTATTTAATTTACGAGGCAAAAGAAACACAACCGGATTTAATGAATAATATGCCAGCCAAAGTAGCCCTAAGCCCCCAGCACTTGAATTGATCTCAACTTTCGAGTGATTAGGACAGGAATGCACACGCAAGACATACATTTAATTATACTCACGAGCACAATAGATGCACGCACACACGTACGTACGTGTGCACAAATACGGGCACGCAACTGCGGCGGACACATTGCACGCATGAACGAACGCGCACACGGAAGGACACACATGCAGACATCGAGAAACTGCACACATGCAACCACGCACGGGGGCACGGTGTAGGAACACAAACGTATATGCACACACAAGCACTTGCGCACACACACATGTGCACACACACATGCATGCGCATGTACTCAATGTTCGGTGATACTGTATAGTGATGGAGCAAAGTACTGCGAGTGAGCTCCTTCGAAGGCAGACAAGGCTGTATTCATGCGTGTTGAACTTCTTTCACACCGCGCGTAGCCAACCATGCTCATCGGCGGTGCGGGGAAACAGTGTTGCACACTCCACACTGGTGGTTGCATCACATAAGCAAGCTGCATGCATTTTAAATTATCCACCCAAAGCAAAAAGGGATATTCCAACTATACATTTTGTATGGCCTGTTTGCATTATATAAAGAGCAGGAGCATCACCACATTCAAATTTAATACAAATGCATTCTGCATTAATCATTTAGAGTGAGGACAGCGACGGGGATATTTCCAGACCCCACCTTTACCAGGCCTGCAGAATTGCTCGGCATAAAAGTCCAAACATTCGCATGTTTGGTATAAGCCAAGAAGACATGGGTAACTACTTAAGCTGCCAAAAGGTCACATTTTTAAAATCAATAACCACATTCATAATTTAAGCTGCACGCACTTTTAATTTTCAGTTTTTACATTTTTCACCAATCACATCCAAATGATGGCCTAGTGGTAGTGTGATGTTGTGAATCGAAAGCCAAGTTGAAAGTTGACTCGTGCAATAATCCCTCTTGTATCATGTTCAGCCCTTTGTCAATCCACTGGTGGGTGAAAAGTCTCCACTTCTTCACAAGCACGCCCCACGTGGTGCTGCTGAAGAAGCGACCGCATGTGGAATGAAACGTCGGACATCGTGCCGAACGTCACGCAGCATGACCCAAAAAGCACACTGGAGAGCTATAAAATCACATCACCGTTTATCAATTATCATTTGTTCTTGAAATCAATAAGTGTATATACTTTTTTTTTACTTCCTAGAGATTGGTTAAATACCCAATATGGAAAACTGAATATTTCAAGTACTTCCAAATGCCCCTGTGTTTAAAAGGCTCCATATCGCAAATTGCTAATCGTTGACTATATGCCAGTCAAACCTCCTCTGCTCTCAGGAAGGGCCATTACCTCATGATTATGCCACGAAACGTGTTTAGGCTATAATCCAGTATTAAAGGCAAGGATGGTGAGGTTTTCATATGGTTTTGTACTCATAAGGGCAGCAATGAGTCCACCAAGCCACGACAGAGGCTATTAAATGGCTCAGCAACCTCGATATACAAATATCGCCTTGCAAATTTCACCTCGCAATATGATAGAAGAATAACCACTAGCAAGTAAGACTCAAAATAAGAAAGTGACCAGCCAAATATCTGAACCCTTCTAAACAAGAGTGGTTAAGGCTCCACGAGGCTTTCCTGGGCAAATTAAATAGTGTGTATACATATTCTTGGTTCTTTCGGTAAGGTCACGTTTACCGAAAGAACCAAGAATATGAAATCCTGCAGTCACGAAAGTTTTAAGTAACAGTTCGTATACATTTTTGTTGTTGTTTTTATTTTAATTTACACTGCCAGGCGGGAACACCAATAACTTTTGGCGAGCCAAGTAGCAGAGTTCGCCTGGGAATGCAACGCAACAAAGGTGCCGCACGGCGCCAGCGGTGTAACGTGTGCGTTCGGTATTGTGCTCGGTGTGACATTGCTCCGCGCCTGTGTGTGTATGTACTGCTCGTTCTTCCTGTGCTTTGGCATTTGCGTTTCATTGAGCTTCCTCATTGCCTCGAGTGGAAGCCAGCAGCCTCCCAACAGGCACTATCATTTATGGCAAGTGAGGCATTGCAGCGCTCGCACACAACAGACACAGACCTCTCGCGGAACGCGCATTTCACAACCCAACACGCACAAGCAAACACTGGGAGACTTTGAGGCTTGACATGGCCTGATTAATTGATTGTTAGCATTCATGTTGTGGGATTAGAACTTGTGATCAGACGGCGTAGAGCTTGGTCCTCCGAGATGTTCGCCCACATTGCGATGGCACAGACCAGTGCATTTCAAAGGAAAACCACCATTGCCTCATGACGTCTTGGCAAAACTGTCCTAATTTGTTCACTCCTGAACAGAATTGCAAGTCCACACTTTGGCAGCCTTCCCATCATTCGTCTTGACCATCACCCCATCTAGCAACGTACCCTGCCCAAGCCCAATTTCTCTTTTGAACAATTTGAATCGTGGCAATAATCTGAGTATGTTCTGTAATCCCCGTGTTCCTCTTTCTGTCACTCAACGCAACTCCCAAGCCTGCTTCTCTTCATGTTTCTTAGCGCATTATTGGTATTTGTTAAATTACTATTTTTTGTTAATGACCGACCGTGTTTTGAAATAATGTCCGATGAGTACCTCCGATTAGCACCTCCGATTGGCAAGGTTGGCTACGTGCGACACGCAAGAAGTTCAATATAAATACATACTTGTATGTCATTGCATCATTGGTGGCTTAAATTTGGACTAGAAGCAGAAAACCGATGCCATGAAGGACATCAGCAGCGGCTGCTGTCGGAGCCCTGGGCTGGGGTCTCATTATTTTAACAGAGCGGCATTTGCAAAATCCCTGTGCAACGCATCAATGGCTGTGTCGAAACTTGAACTGCTCCTCAAATGGGAAGCTGTCAAATACGCACGTGCACAAATGCAAGCACATTTCTCCGTGGGAAACAAGCCTACGCCGTGGCAAATGTATACATTATTTAACGTAAAGTGATGTTCGCAGTGAATTTTTTTTAGAAGCATGCAAAGCCAATATCTTATCCGGAAAGACGCACAAGTACTGAAGTTGGATGCATAGTGCATTGGAAGATGACACTTGACACTTTTTACACTTTTCCAATGCTGAGCAGTTTTAATGAGATGAACCCGGGAATACGTGTCAGCTTGGTCATGCCTGATTGACCGCAGGATTAAAGCCTGCAGTGCGGAATTGTGTTAAGGCCCGCTGGAGGGCCACCCCCAAGTGTGACCGTGCGTGTCTGTGAGCCAGCGTCTTGGATGTCCATCATGGCAGGGGGATCAAGAGCATAATGTGAACGAGATACCTCTTAGAGGCAGTACAGCAAGAAGGTTTATTACCTCCTGTGTACATCGGTGTTTACCTGGCACGCTTGCTTTCCTCCCATATGGAAAAAAGCCATGAAGAATTGGTAATGCAGGTTAAGCCACAATGAGGCTTCGCTGGGTACATGTCAGAAGAATTACAATGGACTAGCTGTTGTCTGCGGACTTTTTAACTGTAACTTTTATAATCCATGCAATTAATGACTAAACCTAATAGCATATCCCCCTACTAGTGATGGGTTTGGAGAAAAGAGGAATATAAATTGGCCAGACATGTTGCAAAAACAAACAATAATGTGTGTATGGTTAAACCATCTGGGAGCAATTGTCAATTTATCATAAGCCTTAAGGGCCCCTTTTATTTATAGAGTCAAAACACACATGCATTGGGACGCTACATATATTATCCACGCTCTTGCAAGATGTTAACTGCCTTGCTTGGTATGACGGAGGTTGTGGGTTCGATCCTGATCCTGACGCCTGTGTATTTGGAGTGTGCATGTTCTCCCCGTGGTCGTGTGGGTTTCCCTCTGGCTCCTCCGGTTTTTCCCTCCACATTTATAAACATGGGTTTAGAGTATTTGGCTGCAATAAATTTCCACATAAGCCACTTCATTGAACTATCAATTGTGGCCAGGTTGCTTATGAAAAAAAGTTCAGTGGCCTTTACATTTGAATGTGATATCACACCGACTCGGATCAGGTAGTGCTTTTCACTCGAGATCTGGGCCCCGTTAACAACCTGAGAATGCTGGGGGTCATCTCCAGCAAAACGTCGCAGGCACCCATGTAATCGTTGTGAGATTTCTCTCCAACGACAACAACAAAACACAGATGCTGCTGCTGCTGAAGTAGTCGTACATTTGACCACGTTGTATTCGCGTTACACTTTTATTAATTGGCTGTGTCGGGTGGAGGAGGGTTTCACGACACAATTGTGACCAAAGATATGTCAGGGCCAGGACAATAGTATCGACAAGACTCAGTTATTGCAACTCACTGCTCTATGGGAGGTCTGCCAACAACATAACCAAGTTGCAGCATGTACAACATTCTTTGGCACGTGCTGTGACAGGTAGTGCAAGATCCGTCCATGTCTGTCCAGTGCTCGTTGAGATGCATTGGATTCCAGTCGCTGAACTAATACATTAAAAGGTCGCACTCATTACACACAAAGTTCGACAAATGAACCACGATACCTCGCTAATCTCGTCAAGGAACATAAACCATCATGGGGACTCCGGTCATCCTCGCAGCAGATTCTGGCTGGCCATTGAACAAAGACGGTCACCGCATCGCGCGCTTTCGTATGCGTTTCTGCGGCCGTCTGGAACACTCTTCCTTCTATATTCGGAAGCCACTGGAGCTATGGACTTTTAAATCTAGATTTCAAACTCATTTCTTTAAATAAACCAATTGTGAATCATAATCTCTCGATTCAGCCCCTTTCAAGACCTCCAG